ATGTTCACCTTCACTCACCCCTTATCCAGTTAGTGACCAACAACTCTTTTTTCTCCCTTGTAATTCTTCTCGCAGCAGCTTCTCCTCTGGCCATGCTGCAGCCCATACCCCCGTGGTTTAGGCTCTCACCATCTCATGTCTAGATGTTGCACTATTTTCTCTTTAGTGCCCTTTCTTTTGCATTCATATTTTTTCAACTTTGCTCATGTGGTTTCTTTCTCCTAGAGAATTTGGCAGGCATAGTGCCGTGCACCTGTAGTTCAAGCTATTTAGGGGGCTCAAGTGGGAAGATTGCTTGAGCCTGAGAGGTCGAGATGCAGTGAGCAGTGATGGCACCACTGCACTGCAGCCTGGGACAGAACAAGATCCTGTCTCTAAAAAATAGAATTTTACCTACCTTTAAACATCCAGCTCAAAGACAGCTTCCTCCAGGCAGCTCTCTCTGACTAACAAAAAGCCAAAGACTTTTTCCTTCTAACTCAAACAAGACCAGCAACCTCAGTGTTAGGTACCACCATGCTTTACATCTTTATATCTGCTCTGAGTATAGCGCTTTCCATATAGCAAGTGTCAAATCCAAGTTAAAAGATCGTGACTCTGATTTGAAAATTTCCTGATTTTTGGTTCAGGAAAGGTGGGACTAGTCAGGAAATCCAGTATAAAGAAGTGACATGGAGCTGGGAAGCATGAGGTAAGCGACAATTAACAAGATTTCTCATTCCTCCCAAGACTACCTCCAGGATCCACCAGACCCTGGATTTGAGTTCAATCCCATTCCTTGACTTCCCTTCTCATTCCAATTCCAGCCTTGATCCAAACCTGATGGTTTCCTGGTTATGCCATTGTCCAGCTTAAAACACCTTCGATGGCTTCCATGGAGCATAGACTGCCCCCATCTTGGAGCCCTCCGTGACCTCACCTACTCTTCCAGCCTCGTCTCCCACCTTGCTTTCCCCTTCTCCTATACTCCAGCCACACTCAGCGCAGGCATCTGAATTTAAGCATGACTTGCACCTTCCTCCTTCAGCTAATGCTGCCGCTACTACCTGCAGTGACCTTCTCTCTTTGTCTAACAACAGCTTATCTTAACTTTAAGTTTCAGCGGAAATTGCCTCCGACATGAAATTCACCGTGACTGCCACCCCCTTCCTTCTGTGTATGCTGATGCTGATCTTGTCCATAGTGACATCTCTCAGAGATCCCATCTGTATCTATTAATAATACACAGCTTGGCCATGGTTACCCATGACCATCACTGAATACTCACAGTAAGCGTCAGTTACATGAATGGGTGCACAACTGAATGATTTCTCCAGAATGATAGAAGGTGATCAGCTGTTCTTTCCCATATGCCTTCATTGCTCACTTCAGCATACCCAGAGTAAACTCTGGATCCACATCTCTCAAGGAAGGTTCCCATCTGCTTGAGTTCTCTTGGAAACAAAGCAGATAACTGGTCAACCCTGGACCAATTCAGCTCTGAGATGAGCCCAACGTGACTAGCTGAGTGGCAAATACCGGATAATAAAGAGATGGTTTCCTGCAAGTGAAATAAAACCAGTGGATTTTCTTTCTGTCTGCTGGATTCCCTAAGATAGCACCTTGTATAAATCCTAGTTAATATCACAGAAATTGACAACTGGCATGACAGATGGTGCATCTCAACCCTTTAATTTAATGATAAGGAAACTGAGGCTCAGATAAGCAAAATGGTCAAATTGTTCACGGTCACACAGCTAATAATGATTCCTGGGCTAGAAGAGACAAAATACTCTCAAAGGATATTGGCACATTCCTTTTCTTCAAGGAGACTGCCCAATTCTCACATTTTTCCCTTTCTTTTTAATTAAAAAAAAATTGCTTTGAAAATGTTTTCACCTAGATTTAATTGTTTCCTTCTTAACGTAGCATAAATATCTATGGTTTCCACTTCCAAGTTGGCTTGGACTCAAATGAGTTATGGTGGCTCTATAATGTCCTGCTAGGTGAATGTTCTTTTGTCTCATAAACGAAGAGATTACTTTGCTTATCTTACTAGCAGCTTTAGCAGAAAGAGAAAATGTGCTTTCACCAAATGCGTTGGCTTAAATAATATAATTGATTATCAACAAAGCCCTACACCTCCTGTAGTTTCCTCTTAGGTGGATATGATAACCAAGCTGGTACTTTTCATTCCTAACAGCTACAATTTCCAAGCTATATATTAACTACCAATTTTGACAGATAAACAGATAAAATACAATTTGGTGTCCTCTGGCACATGAGAATTCTGATTAATTTGAGCCAATGTTCCTTTGCTGCATTGAGCTCTGTAATTGGACATCTACTAGAATAGATGGAAAACCAAGTTAGGCTAGTTTCAGATGATGGGCTCTCTTAGTTCAGGCTTCCATAACAAAATCCCATAGTCTGGGTGGCTTAAACAGCAGAAATTCTTTTTCTCAGAGTTCTAGAGGTTGGAAGTGCAAGATCTGCTTACCATTATGGTTGGGTTATGGTGAGGACTCACTTCTTGGCTTGTAGATGGCCACCTTCTTGTTGTGTTGTCACATGACAAAGAGAGAAAGAGAGAGGAAGCTCTCTGTTGTCTCTTCTTCTGAGGTTGCTACTCACATCATGAGGGCCCCCAACATCACCACCTCATCTGAACTTGATCATCTTCCAAATGCCCTATCTCCAAATACCATCACATCAAGGGTTAGGGCTTCAACATATGAATTTGCGGCAGGGTGGGATAGGGGAGACACAATTCAGTCCATAGCATTATAACCCTGGTCCCCCAAATTCATATCCTTCTTGTATGTGAAATATATTCATTTCATCTCAACAGCTCCAAGAATCTTAACTTGTTCCAGCATCAACTGTAATGTCTAAAGTCCAAAGTCTCCTTTAAATATCACCTCAATCAGATATGAGTGAAATTTGAGGTAAAATTTATCCTGAGGCAAAATTCCTCTCCTCACCAGATGTGAACTTGTGGAACCAGATAAATTATGCACTGCCAAAATACAACATTGGGACAGGCATAAGATAGTTGTTCCCACTCCAAAAGGGAGAAATAGAAGAAAGAAAGGGGTGGCAGATCCCAAGCAAGTCCAAAACCTAGCCAGGCAAATCCTATTAGATCTTAAGGCTTGGGAATTATCCTCTGGCCCAATGTCCCATCTGCCAGGCTCACTGGGGTGGCAGCATCACCCCAATGGCTCCAGGTAGGGGTTCTGACCCTGTGGCTCTTGCAGGCCCTGGGTCTTGTTAGAAAGTTGCATCCCCAGGGCTCCACTGGGTGGTCCTCCTGCAAAGCTCCAGGTAGGGGCTGTCCAGTGGTTGAAACTGAGGCCCTGGCCCTGATGAGCTCTGAATCAACTTCAGCATCATTTTTTTCTCCTCTGGGAGAACAGTGCATGTTCCAAGTAGCTCTACTTTCTCATCCAGTGAAATCGAAGAATTTCAATACCCTCACTTCATTTTGTCACATCTCCATCCCCTTCTGTTCAAACTGGCAGTGTTTCTGCTCATATAACCCTATAAACACTATTAAGCGATAGTTTGGCCATGCCCTTGGTGTTCTCTTCAGGACATGATTTCTCACTTTTTTGCAATGAAGTATTTTCCAAGTCTGCAAGTTCTTGTTTTTTTTGGCTTAATAATTCTTTCTTCAATTAATGTTTTTCTCCCACATTTCCCTATAAGCAATCAGGAGGAACCAAGCCATTCCTTCAACACTTTGCTTAGAAACCGCCTCAGCTAAATATCCAATTTTATCACTCACACATTCTGTCTTTCACAAAACACTAGAACACAGTTCACAAAACTTCTTTATTACTTTATGAAAAGAATCATTTTTCCTCCAATTTCCAGTAACACAATCCTCATTTCTGAGACCTTGCCAGAATTTTCCTTAATGTTCATATTTCTAGTGTGCACTCCCAAATTCTTCCAGCCTCTACCCATTACCCAATTCCAAAGCCTTTTCAACATTTTTAAGTATTTGTTACAGCTGCATTCCACTACTTGGTTCCAAAATTTGTATTAGGTTTCTCCAGAGGAACAGAACTAATTGGACATAGGTAGGTAGGTAGATGATAGATAGATAGATAGATAGATAGATAGATAGATAGACAGACAGATAGATGATAGATAGACAGATAGTTTTATTATAAGGAATTAGCTCATGTGATTATAGAGGATGAGAACCACGCCGGCTGATTATTTTTGTATTTCAGTAAAGACAAGGTTTCACCATGTTGGCCAAGCTGGTCTTCAACTCCTGTCCTCAAGTGATCTGCTATCTTCAACCTCTCAAAGTGCTGGGATTATAGGCATGAGCTACTGTGTCTGGCTGTCAGTCTGTTTTATGTGGCAAACGGACTCAAACATTAACCTCATCCAGAAACATCCTCACAGACACACCCAAAATAATGTTTGACCAAATGTCTTGGCACCCCAGAGCCCAGTCAAGTTGATGCATAAAACTTATCATCACACAGACCTTCAGGTACATTATTTTAGTACTCCGCAACCACTGCAGGCTTCTAGGAAATAATTCCTCCAGAAAGCAATTTTGACAACATCACTTTGGGCAAAGACATAAGAAAACAGCTGTCCAGTTTAAGAATTTTTATAGCTGCTATTGTATTACTTAGAAATTGTCTAATGATACCAATAATGAGAAGGAGAGATTGAGGGTAAGAATGAAAGATGTTTTCTCTCCCAGTTTGTATTCTTATTCTCTCTCACTCTGTATAAGTAATCCAGCTATTACAGTAAGATAGTAGAATCATGGAGGAAGAGACCAACATTTATTGAAAATTTACAATAATACGATAGTAATGATGACTAGCATTTACCAAACACTTACTATGTTCCAGGCAATCTTCTCATTTAATTCTCTATTCCACCCTTTACGATACCCAGCGTTTGTACATTTTGTATATTATATTGTGTTATCTTCACACCTGGCTGATGAAGTTGGTCATTTACCTATTTCCCTTATTTTACAGATAAAGATCTTTCCCAAAGTCAAACAACAAACCAGAGGTTGAGCTGGGATTTGCTTTCCGCACGGCCCATGTTGTTCTTTCATGCGTATGCTGCCTGCCCTGCTAAGACCCATGAGCATCACGTACATTTGTATGTTCGCAGAAATAAACAATACAGATACGTCCAGTGCTCCCCTCTGCACTGGAACTCAGAAAATGTGAAAATCTCATCTTGGTTTTGCTCCTCATTTGCCACATGACGTTAAGCATATCACTTAATTTCTCTACGACTCAATTTCTTTACACAGAAAGTGAATATTCTTTCTGTCCCATCCTATGTCAAGGCATTTTAATGACAGGTCTAAACTAAATGATTGTGAAAGGATTATGAAAAATGCTATACACAAATGCGGATATTGGTATGAGTGTGTTTACTACAAAACCACGAACACTTTTCCCCTTTTTGTGCGTCAGACAGAAGAGGTCTTTCTTAGATGCTTTCTCTACCCTATTATCTTTGTGGCCAACAGCACAAAGCAGGGAATAAATTGCCTCCTAATTATAAGAAGGGATATAGATAACATGCTTAGTCTAGTAGGTGCACAATAAATATTAATTTCCTACTTTGTGTGAATGGGCATAGGAGTCAAAGCCTGGTGCCTACCTGCTCACCAAGTGTCATGGGGAATCCATTTCCAGGATTCTAAAAATAATCAACCATTAATCTTTCTTATATGTGATTCAATCCAAAATTGAAAATACTGAGTGTGGTGGGGAGAGGGAACAGTTACAACAGGGCCCCCGCCTTGTGATTCAGGACACGTTGCTGGGGCTATCTGGTTCTTTTCATGAGTGGGACCTGACTCTCCTTTCTGCCCAAGGGTGCGCATCACTTATTTGGCTACAAAAAGCTCCTTTATTGCCTGTCTTGCATTCTCCACTTCATAAATCTTCCAGAGGTGTCAACTGCACAGAAGGCAGCGTCGATTTTCGTAAGTTTGCAACGATCCCCAAAGGCTTGTTGCCTGTATACATCAAGAATGGCTTTTAGGTTTCTGCTTCCCATTGTCTAAGCAACCCTGAGAAAGAACACACCATGGCTGTCTGATTTTGGTAGTCCTTTCTCACCCCCACGTCTCCATTCATTTGTAAGTCAGTCTTTCTTGTTCACCGAGACTGTGGTTGTAACTGAGCACAGGACCCTGGAGGGACTCAGCTTGTGGGGGATGTGGCTGTTAGAGAGAAAACCTCGCTCCCAGAGGGCTTGGCTACTGAAATGTATTTTTCTTCCTTTCTCATTTAGGAGTGGAAAATAACGCCTGGGAGGAAAATGAGACAAACAGTGGCAATTCAAGTTTCCCCTAAGCTAGGGTTTATTTTGTTATTATTCCCAGCTCCCAGATAAATTCTCTTCCTGATTTCTGTTATACATCACTTTGGCTGACATATGTCCAGTTTTTAACATTGATTTAAAAAAACCCATTGGGTGGAAATGAATATCATGATGCAGAGGGGATTTTACTGTTTTGTTATTTTAATGAATGAAAGGTTAACAACAAGAATTGGACTAATAGTCTTGGAAACAAGCCCTCAATTTATCTGCAGAACAGACGCCAGCTTCTCAGTTCTCCTCCATCCTCACCAATTGATCACCCTGCACGGTGGGTGACCCTAAAACTCCCACTGCCCTCGGGGGAAGAGGTGATTAAACAGATTGTAATACATGGCTTATATTTCTTTAGGCTTGATAGTCTCTGGTCACGTGTGTACCTATTTTACCCACTGTTTTAAAAATTGTTTTAATTTCAGTAGCTCTAGAGGTACAGGTGGTTTTCGGTTACATGGATGAATTATATAGTGGTGGTGTCTGGGCTTTTAGTGTACCTGTCACCTGAACACTGTACATTGTACCTAACAGGGAATTTTTCATCCCTCACCCCCTTCCCCTCTCCCTCCTTCTGAGCCTCCAGTGTCCACTATACCACTCTGTGTGCCCCTGTGTACCTATCGCTTAGCTTCCACTTAGTAGTTGAGAACATGCAGTATTTGGGTTTCCATTGCTGAGTTACTTCACTGAGAATAATGGCCTCCGGCTCCATCAAAGTTGCTGCAAAGACATTTTATTCCTTTTTATAGCTGAGTAGTATTCCACAGTATATATAAGCCACATTTTCTTTATCCACTCACTGGTCGATGGGTACTCAGGCTGGCTGTCTGTGATAAACATATGAGTGCGAGATGTCTTTTCGATATAACAATTTCTTTTCCTTCGGGTGGGTACCCAGCAGTGGAATTGCTGGGTCAAATGGTAGATGTACTCTTGGTTCCTTGAGGGCTCTCCATACTCTTTTCTATAGAGGTTCTACTGATTTACATTCCATTTGCTCCTCTTTTAAATGGAGATCTTCCTAAGAAAGGCCATTCATGTTTTTCCCACAAGACAAAACACAATGTCTTCCACATAGCAGACACTCAATTACAATTACAAATATCTGTTGGTTGAATGAATGAAGTAAATAAAATATTTTAAAAGGTACAGGGCCGGGCGCAGTGGCTCACGCCTGTAATCCCAGCACTTCGGGAGGCCGAAGCGGGTGGATCACGAGGTCAAGAGATCGAGACCATCCTGGTCAACATGGTGAAACCCCGTCTCTACTAAAAATACAAAAAATTAGCTGGGCACGGTGGCACACGCCTGTAATCCCAGCTACTCAGGAGGCCGAGGCAGGAAAATTGCCTGAACCCAGGAGGCAGAGGTTGCGGTGAGCCGAGATCGCGCCATTGCACTCCAGCCTGGGTAACAAGAGCAAAACTCTGTCTCAAAAAAAAAGGTACAGACAAGAGAATTCTGGGAGCTGTTATGTTCAATTATAATTTAGCTGTATGCTGTCACTCATCACCACAGTCTTGGCCAGATTTTCAGCGCTACAGATTGATACCAGCCAACTGGTAGGCAGAAACGTATAACCATCTTCTGTAAGATTGCTAATTCAAGCCAGGCACAGTGGCTCATGCCTGTAATCCCAGCACTTGGGAGGCAGAAGCAGGCAGATCACTTGAGGTCAGGAGTTCAAGACCAGCCTGACCAACATGGTGAAACCTTGTTTCTACCAAAAAAAAAAAAAAAAAAAAAAATTAGCCAGGCATGGTGGCAGGCACCTGAAAGCGCAGCTACTCAGGAGGCTTAGGCAGGAGAATCACTTGAACCTGGGAGGTGGAGGTTGCAGTGAGCCAAGATGGCACCATTGCACTCCAGCCTGGGTGACAAAGTTAGACTCCGTCTCAAAAAAAAAAAAAAAGATTGTTAATTCAAATAGCAATATAGATTGCAGTTTGAACGTGGAAAAAGACATTTGTAGTCAACAATTCCAGACTCATCTCAGAGTTGTATACCAAGGTCTGTACCAACGACCAGTGCCTCCAGCAAGGGCTGTCTCTAGACCCCAAGGGAACTCGGTAAACACCCTCTAATATTGCCCCAACCAAATCACATATTCAAATATATATTGAGATGCTGACATAGTTAAGGAAGGCAGAATATGTTTTATTTTCTGCAGAAAAACTGAAAGTAAGAATGAAGTGAGAATCCATTTTTTGGCAGAAAAAAAAGGCGATCTAAAATATTTTCTTAAGAGATTTAGCACATTTGAGCCGGGCGCGGTGGCTCACACCTATAATCCTAGCACTTTGGGAGGCCGAGGTGGGTGGATCACCTGAGGTCAGGAGTTCAAGATCAGCCTGGCCATCATGGTGAAACCCCATCTTTATTAAAAAAAAAGAAGAAGAAGAAGAAGAAGAAGAGATTTAGCACTTTTGAAAAGATGTGCCAAAAAAAATTCTTTTATTAATTCAATTAAAATGATCTCAGTCACTTCAGTCTTTTTCATTTCTGGTCAAAATCTAGACGACTAAGAAAGTGTGATCTGAGGTAATTATAGTCTAACCAGGAGCAAAACAGGCGCCAGACCTCACGCGGAGGCTTGACCAAAAGAGGAACAGAGCCCTTTGACTTAGTGAAACTGAACTGCGGGGGTCGAACTGACCCGCCCTAATTCGGAGCAGGTGCCATCACTCTGGCCGTTTGCCGACGGGCAGCGTGGACGACGGGAAACAAAAAGCCCGGAGAAGTACTGAGTGCTAAGAGGCTTTCAGAGGCGCCTGTTGCTAGGGAACCACTTCCTCCGTGTTCATACCCAGCGAACTCAAGCTATTCAGATATCACTGGAATAATCTCAGGCTCTGAGGGGAAAAGAAACAGCTCTCAAAACTCAGACGTCATGGTAACACTGGGAAAAGCCCAGCTTTTCCAGCAGACACCACCAAAGAGCCAGTGACGCCAGGCGAGAACCAGAAGTGAATGGGTGTCTTGTGTTTTATTGAGACACAGAGGACGACACCTTCTGCATGGCTCTACCCAGGTGTGTCGGTGGCAAACAGTGACACAGCCACATGCAATGTTATTATCAGTTCTTTGAGCATGAGATACTGTTCTCTTCATCTTCAGAACCCACACCATCAAGCCCAGTGCTTTCTACACTCTTCTCCAAGTTGGTTCAATTCAACTTCTTCATTCCACAAAGATTCATCGAGGACTTGGTTCTGTGTGCACTGCATGGGTGCTATGATAGAGATAAAAAGACACAGAGACAATCCTTCTAAAGAAGCTTCCATGTCTTAGAAACACACATGAGGATGAGGTTTGTCTTCAAATAATGGTAACACAAATAACAGCGGTATAAACAACATGGCAGGTTTTGTTCATAAACCAAATATAAACTTCTAAGCCACACAACCAACTGAATGGACACCCTCCTATTGGCCAAGGGAATTCTAAAGTAAGCCTGAAACGCCAGTTCAGGCACCATGATGGGAATGTGTGATCAGACATGGTTCAGGTTACGTTGGAATTCCGGCACAGCTGACAAGCATTAGCATTAAAACAGAGACATACGACTGACCAGACGGACTCTTCATAAGATACCAACATGATAGACAGTAGGACCTGAAAGGAACCAAAGTATTTTATCCCAAAATATATTTCCTTGACACAGTTTGAAATGGCACTGCAAAGCCATCTCTTGTGGGGAAAACCTATATTTTATAGAGAATCCTCTTCCATTTGCAGGTCTTTTTCCTGATCCTGGCACCTTTTCAAGTCTGTTGAGAAATATTTACCATCTAGTCTCTCTGAAAC